GCGGGAGGCTAGCCGGGCTGGGAGCCACCGGTGCCCCACCCGGCTCCTCCCCTCGGGCGAGTACTGCTTTTTAAAATGTTTCTTCAGCAAAGAGTGTATTTATTGCTCTGCTAAAGAGGGTGGGCTTCTGTCCAGGTGGGCTGGGGTGGAATCCAGGCACAGCCACTTTATAACCTGCACGACCTTGGCCGCCCCCTCGCCTCTCAGAACCCCATCTCCTTATCTGTTTAATGGGAGCAAAAATCCCACCTGGCAGGGCTGTTGTGGGGCACAGAGGAGATAATGCGTCATAAAGTGCCCTCTGAGGGCTTGGCACCGCAGCTGGTGTGGCTGTGAGAGCTGCCTTTGTGCCCCGGCCCGGACGGAGCCAGGGCCTCTGGATGCGCATCCCCACATGTTCTGCAGCACCACCGACGCTCGCGGACCGGCCACCAGCTCCACTCTGGGGGCCGGCTCCAGGGTGCAGGGGGCCCCCACCCAGGAATGCCATCCATCTTCCCAGCCCCAGGGCTGGGCTCCCGCCTCCAATAGGCCACCTGCAGCCCCGACAGGCGGCCCTATGGGCCTGGCTGTCAGCGCCAGGAGGGGCCGCCCGTCCCCGCAAGACCAGGCCTGTGCTGGAACCACATCCGGAATTTGGCAGAGCCGCCCATGTCTCCTCTTGTCCAGGAATGTCCTCCGTCCTCCCTCCTCCTGAGCGCCTGCTGTCCTGGCCCCTCGCCCGGCACCATCCTGCCTCTGCTCTGGGAGGACACGTCCTGGCCGCAGGACCAAGTGTCTAGAGGGACCCGGCTGCCCAGGGATGTTGGGGAGAATCTCGGGGTCCTTGGCTGGGGTCTTCCCTGGTGCCGAATCTAGGCTCACGTTTTGCAGGAGAAAGTGCCTGTGGGTTCGGAAAGAGTGTCCCCTCTTCCCCTCCCCTGAATGAGCCGAAGTCACTGAGCGGCTGCATGAAAATAGACCAGCTGGCCCAGGACCAAAGTGGTGCTGGGAGAACCTCGACTCCAAGCTGCGGGCTGACCTGGGTACCCCAGTCTGCAGTCTGAGCGGTCATGATGACCGACCTCTGGGGTCACCAGTGCCCGTGGCCACGGCAGGAGTCTGCATAGGGCACAGATGAGCTCCCCTTTCTTTTCTGCCCTTCTGTGATGTCCAGGGTGCTGGCCACTGGAGGGACACACGATCCCCAGTGGCCAGCTGGCAGGCCAGATAGAGTTCTGCTGGACGCATGGAGAAGGGACCGCGTGGGGAACCGTTCTCAAACCTGGTGCCCACAGACATCCCGGGGTGGAGAAGTGATTCCGGGCGCCCCCCACAGCAGCTCCCATCAGCAGGCCCAGGTGCCGGGGTCCCTGATGTTCTGGGGACGGTGTGGGCGGGAGGTTGGTCAGACCCTGTCCCACTCCTTGCTGGCAGGCAGCCAACCCTGAAGCCCTGGCTGCTGGGCCTGTGAAACGGGCATGTGGTTCTTGGAAGAACCCTCCAGGGTGGGGTGAGGGCCGGAGACAGCAGCCACCCTGCCAGTGTGCCTGGAGCGGGGTGTCAGTCTCTTGTCTGCTGCCCACGTTTGAAAGACAAGTGTGTCACATTGATTTACGCCCCTTCTGTCAGAGTCCAGCACACAAGTGAGCAATGCAAATCTCACCAAAGTTAAGTCGCGGTCACCGGAATTTCCTGACCCCCTGGGGCCACCAGGAGCCTCTCCTCTGAGTGAAGGCGATTCCGACCTCAGGCCAGCGCTCCAGGGAGGCGCGGGGCCCAGGCAGAACCAGAGGTTGCCTTGCCTGCCCCAGAGCCCCCCGCGGGCTCACTCACTCAGCTTCCTCCTCCTTGAGCCGCAGGACGAGACCGAGTCTGCTTCTTTCACTCAGCGCCATGCCGCCCTCACCAGTGCGACTCTGCCGTTTGTTCCTCTCAGCCGGTGTGTCGTGTCCCCACCTCTGGACAAACCACGGCCCCGTAGATGCACAGGTGGGCGGCTTCCAGCTCTCGGCTCCGAGGACAAAGCAGATTCGACTTCCCCACCACCGTTTTTGCTCAGTGTCCTTCTGGAGGTCCCAGCCAAAGCCACAAGGTGCGAAAAGTAAATAAAAGGTACAAAGCTTGGCAAGGAGAATGCAGACTTTCACTTTTCCCGAAGGACACGGTGATGCGTGTAGAAAGGGCTAAGGAACATAGAGATAAATGGCCAAGTTAATGGGAGGCCTAGGACGCGTGCTGGATTCAAAATCAACACATGAAAGTTCGTTGCTTCTCTCAACACCAGCAACAAACAGATTTGAAAAGGTATCACTTACAAAGGCCTGAAAACATGAAACAAGTAGGGAAAAAAGAGATGTGCAAAATGTTTGCAGAGGAAATTGACCTAAAACCGCTGTTGGCCCGAGCAACCAGCAGTGACAAGCAGCGTCCGAGAACCGGAGGCCCTCAAAGGGGCCCATGGGCTTTACATAATCCCTGTCTTCCTCATGACCCGGTGGCGCTGAAGCGGCCCAGACAGACTGCATCCGATGGACGGCAGTGGAGGCCCACTTCGGGCCCTGGTTCCACATTCTAGGAGCTGGGGAGTCACCAATCCGTCCTCACGACAAGAAGACGATCAGACGGAAAAGGCAGACACTTGTCTCTGGTTCATGAGGGGTGGGGAGGTCACAGGGCAACCGCTGCCCTGTGACTGGGGAGGCCAAAGGGCATTGAGAACAGATCAACAGCAACCAGAAGGGTCATGGGCAAAGCCGTGAGGACCAGTGCCAGGCAGGAAACCTAACTGTGGTGGCTGTGGGCGGACAAGTCTCTGAGCTAACCCCGGGGACCAAGTCATGAGGGGCCCTACAATATCGCGAGATTTACCTCCAGGGGCTCGACCCTGTTCCATAGAAATATCAGAGAAAAATCCCCGGGGGCTTCCTGCAGGAGGAGGAGAAAAGGGATGATCCTGAGGTTGCTGGAGCACTGTGCTCTCCTTAACAAGGCCCTTCCTCCGGGGAAACCAGTTAACCAGAGCCAGATCTGGGGGTTTATCAGAGCCCAGCTGACCCAGGAGGGTACAGCCCGCCCCCTCAGCCCTCTCCAGCCGTCCTGTCCCACCGAAGGGGGAGAAAGAGCAGAAGAACTCGGGAAGATCACCATCCGGGGGCTCAGGCTCGCTGAGGGTCCCTTACCCAGCACCTCGTGTCGGGCTGTCAGGAAGAAACGACCAGTCGCACGAAAGGGCAGAAAACACTGTCTGGAGAGTCAGAGCAAGCATCAGAGTCAGACCTGGCCAGACGCTGGGGTGATCAGACCAGGGGCTTATCGACAACGGTGAACCCACTAAGGGCTCCCAGGACAGAGCCATCAGCACACGGGAGCAGGTGGCAGGTGAGCAGAGCTGGGAGCTGAAGGAAGAACCAAGGAAGGCCCCCAGGACAGGAAACATAACAGAGGAGAGCGCCTGCGAGGGGCGAGTGGGCAGGCGGGACTCGGCCAGGGAGCAGCCTCAGTGCTCTTGGGGGTCTCCCCCGAAGCCTGCACGGTGGAGGAGCATGGAGAGCAGGTGGAGAAGACGGAGCACAGGGGCTGTGGGCCACCACGAGCGTGCCGCACGCAGAGGAGGGACACCAGGAGGAGGAGGGACGAAGGAGCAGAAGAAACAGGGAGACTGCGGGGAAGAGAGTTTCCCCAGCTGAAACCACAGCCCCAGGGAGCAAGGTGAGCACCTGGCAAGGTAAATGGGGAGAACCCACACCAGGCGCGTCCCCTTCAAATCACAGGCAATCGAGGACAGAGAAAGCGCCCAGGGGCCGGCGGAAAGACCCCCAGACTCAGGCAGGCGTCACACCGGCTCCGCAGACACCAGGCGGGAGCAAGAAACCACCAGCCTGAGTCCATATCCAGCAAAATCATCCTTCAGAGGGGAGGGAGAAATAAGGACCTTCTCAGACAAGCAAAAATTGGGGTATTTCTTTGAGAAACATGGGGGGCGGAGGGCAGAGGGCCGTTCTCAGAGGGCAGGAGGACGATGCAGGTAGGAAGCTCAGGCCTGCAGAGAGAAGGAGAGGGCCCTGGAGAAAAGGTAGGCGAAGGTAAATGAGACTTCCTTTCTGCTCGTTCCACAAACATTTATGATGCTGTAATGCGGTAGCTCTTGGTCGCTGCAGCACCAGGTAAGCCGAAGCAGAGCACTGAGCCAGGAGCACTAGGCTTTTCAACGTGAGAATGAAATACACGGGGGGAGTCGAAACAACGCCCAGCGCCTGGGGCGGCACGGAAAGGAGGCCTCCAGCGGGGAAGCCAGGCTCGCCCAGGAGCTCGCTCGTGCGGCTTACGGTAACGCACCTCTTTTCCTTCTCCTCAGTTGATCCAGCAGGCGTCGGCTTGTTCACAGTGCTAATGCCAGCAGCGTGTTCAGTTACGTGTGAATGTCTGTGCCCACGTGCGTGTCTGTGAGCCAGGCGGTGGCCGCAGTGCCTCCAGCGATGGGAGGGCGGGGGAGGGTTGCCTTGCTATTACAAGGCCTCACACCAGCCGTGAGTGCTCGGTGCCATTTGAAAGTGCACTTGCATTGTTTGTAGGTGTGTATCGCACGCAAACTCCAGGGCAACCGCTGAAAAAAGTAAAAGAGAAGCATAACTGATTCCTAAGAAAGGAGAGAAGTGGAAGCGTGTGAAATGCTCAGCTAAACCCCCAAAAGGCAGGAACAGAGTGGAAGACGAAAGCAGGGAGACAGAACCAGGGTGACGAACAGAACACCGTGCCGACTGTGGTGGACACTGACCCGACGGTTTCAGCCGTCGCTCTGAGCACCAGCGGTCTGAATGCTGCCGCTCAGAGACAGAGATGTCAGAGTGGACCCCAAACAGGACCCCCTATGTGCGGTTTTTACGAGAACCCCGCTTTGAATAGAAAGACACAGAGACTCAAAGTGAAGAGATGGAGGAAAGACAGCCGGCTAGTGACACTCGGCAGGAGAAAGCAGGGGTGGCCGTGCTAACCTCAGGCGGAGACGACCCCGGAGCCAGCGGAGCAAGGAGCGGGACGGAGGGCACGTGGGGAGGGGGGATCTGCTCTCCAGGAAGACGCTGCACCCTTGACACGGAGGGCGGGGGTGCCGAGGTGGGGAAGGATGGGCTTTCTGCGGATGGTTCTGGGACCACGTACCCTCTCACCACGAGTGGCAAGTGTGGTTTGGCTTCACACAAAGATACAGAACCCAACAGACAAATGCCTAAAAGTAAAAGAAAAGTAGAGTGGGTTTAGAGGAGTGTGACAGTGTAACTGCGTAACTGTGGCTGGGATGGAAGTCTTCAGGAATTTACAAAATAGTAGGCAAAAAAGGCAAAGACTGGTTGATTTGATGCATAAGAGCGAAGAAATTCTGTTTCATTAAAAGCCCCCTTAAAAGGAGCAAGAGGCAGCTGACAGGCAGGAGGAGATTTGCATACATGCAGCTGAGGAAGGAAGGCCCGGAGCCAGACTTTGATAGAAATCAGTGGGACGGAGCTCCGCACCTAACGCCGCCGCCGGGCGAGCGGCTCAGCAGAGAGGAACCAGACAGCATCAGACCTCGCTGGTCATCAGGAAAAATCGTTAAGGTCCCAGCGCAACGTCATTACTCACCGGCAGGTTGGCAGAGGTTGAAAAAGTGACCAGCCGAGTGGCTGCCCAGGGTGTGGGGCCCTCACGCCCCGCCGGGTGGGGACACTTGGCAGCTGCATTTCGGGAAGGCCTGGGGCCGGCCCCTCCGCTCCATTGTCAGGCCCAGAGAAATTCCCGAGCAGCGGGCTCAGGGACTTTTGTGGGAATGTCCACAGCGGTGTTATTTTTAAAGCAAAAAAGCTGGAAACAACCCAAACGTAACACTCAGAGCAGCGTGAACAACGTGTGGGGTATTTGCACAGCAGAGCCACCGACACCGGCAGGAAGGACTGGGCTCAGGGGACAAGCCGGGCACGGATCACGGGAAGCACGATTTTGCTCATTAGGGAAGAAACGGGCAAGGCTAGCTACCTCGTGATCAAAGCACACAGAAAAGCAAGGCAGTGACCACCGGGAGGCCCAGGGCAGGGGGAGGAGGGCAGGAGGTCTGTTCCGTGTCTCCCCAGGGCGGGGGGCAAACATGGGGGTCCCGCCAGCGTGTGTGTGCAAATGCCACACGTGGGGTCTGAATTCACTCTGCCATGGGCACGACTCGTCTCCCAAGTTTGGGAAAACTAAACGTTAAGACAGAGGGAATTGATTCTGTTTCAAGCTGTGCTCAGCTGCCTCCCCCTGGCCCCACACAGCTGCTTCCTCCTGCCAGCTCTTGGCAGCCTCGTCCCCGTCCCGGAGCCCTCTCTCCACAGGTCAGATATCCCTCATCCTCCTTTCTCCCCAAGAGGCTTTCCCATTGACCTCAGCTCCCGCTAGCGAGTGATCAGGGTCCGACCAGACACACAGGTGGAGGGGATGGGAGCCCGGCCAGGCCCCGCAGGGTAGACAGACCCTCCAGGAAGCGGGCTGTTCTGGCTTCAGGAGGGCCCCCACCTGCAGGGACCCGATGTCCCCAAATATGCCAGGAAGACATGCCAACCTGGGTTGTGGGCCGGGCCCCAGAGCGGACCAGGCTACCCGGGGTCTTGGGCCCAACTCACCAGACTGCACGTGCCAGGTGCCCTCTGCTCCGGGACCAGGATCACTGGAGCCGATTCACGGCTCCACAGCACAGACCGGGGGTCTAGGGCCGCCTGGGTCTGCTATGTGTGCCAAGGCTTCCTGACGTTCCATCCCCAGAGCAAATTGTTTGTTTAACTTTCAGAGAAAAAATAGCTATGAGTCAGCTTTGAGAAAACAGCCTGTGGGAAGGATACTGGGCTGGGGCAGTGCAGCTGCCTACCTGCTGGGCGACCTCCGGCCAACTCCACGGCCTCTCTGGGCCTCCCTCTGTGCGTCCCTAACCCTTCTGGGGCTGATGGCTCTGCTCTGGGCATCTGCTCCTGGCAGGAGAAGTGGGCTGGTCTCCCTCTCTGCAGGGGTGGGCCCAGTGGGGACAGATGGCCTTGGGTGGACAAATGGCACCTCAGGACCTGCAGGCTCCTTGGTATGTGGCTGGACCCCGCCCCCCTTCAGAAGTTCTCTCCAAACACTCAGGTCCACTGTCACCATGCAGGTGGCCAAGAAGCCCCCTCAGGTGCCCCTACAGGAGTGGAAACCCTGAAGGACCCGGGAGTCTGGCCCAGGCCGGACCTGCTAGTCCAGGGACAGGGTGGACGGTGTGGAAGTGCTCCCGGGGTGGGGGCAGAGGGAAGCCCCTCTTCTCTTGGGGCCTGTCACAGGCTGAACCATGTTGCCCAGCCCGACCCCAGGGTCCCAGGTTGATGGCACTTGGGAATGGGGCTTCTAGGACGTTATTATGTTCAGTGGGTCATAAGGATGGGGTTCTGATCCCATAGGACTGTGTCCTCATCAGAAGAGGGGGAGGAAGAGCTGGTGCACATGACACAAGGTGGCACCTAGAGGCCAGGAATAGAGGTCCCACCAGGAAAGACCCTGATGGACCCTGATCTGGGACATCCAGCCTCCGGAATTTGAGAGAGAAATGTCTGTTGTTGGAGCTGCTGGGTCTGTGGTGTTTGTTTGGCAGCTGAGCTGACATGGCCTCTCAGAACCTGAGTCCTGCTGGACCCCAAGGCCTCCTTCTTCCCGTCTGACCCACTGAGAAAGCTCCAGAATTCAAGCTCCAAAAACGTACAAAAGCATGTTAGTTATGTGTAGCTGTGTAACAAGTCACCCAGACCAGCGGTTTAAAAGGATAATAACCATTCCCTTTGTCTCTGGCTTCTGTGGATGGAATTGAGAGGGTCTCCCACCTGGGGAGTTGGGAAGAACAGCTCAGGTTCTCCTCATCATCTGCAGGTTTGATCCAGGGGGTGATGATGATGGTGATGGTGGTGATGTTGATGATGATGGTGGTGATGGTGATGGTGGTGATGATGGTGATGATGATGGGTGATGGTGATGATGGTGGTGATGGTGATGATGGTGATGATGGTGATGATGGTGATGTTGGTGGTGATGTGATGGTG